GTAACACCATTAGTAAGGTCACTAAACTTAGAGATACCTCAGGACAGAAGACTCAACAGTAAAGTAGTAATAGGCTACTACATAAAACAGTCAACTATAATTTACAGATAGTAAAACAAAACCTAATAAAATACTTAAGACACAAAGACAAAGGCATATTTATCCCTAGTGCCATTAGAGAATGGAATGAATTGCCTGAATCAGCCAGGAAAACCAAGAACTTAGCATCGTTTAAATTGCGGATTAACATGCATAATTATGTAACGCGCAGAACGTAATTATCTTCTCTTTTGAAGTCTGCCCATGGGTATCATTGAACAAATAAAGAATTGTTACTTATTTTATTATCAGTAATTTTGAGAAACTTTGCTCTAGGATAACAACATATAATCATGATTAAACTGATTATGATATACCATCTAATACGTAGTAATTTACCTTTTTTTTTTAAATCTCTGTTCAGGGAACTGAATGGTTAGACTACAATGACAGGCCTTTTGAACCGGTCACTGAAACTTGCAGTCTGGTAAGAATGTCACCAGTTAGTTTCTACAAATAAGTGGTAACGAAACCTTAATGATTAAAATAACAGCGATCTCGCTATGACGAGGAGTAGTCAAAATTAGTAGCTCTATCAACTTCAACTAGCCTACTTTCTTAAGAAAGAGACAGAAATCAATAAAATACTCTATCTACCTTTAGATTGAACATGCCAATACAGTGCCAGCGAGTACTTTTTGTTGTTTTGTTTTGTTTGATTTACTGCTTTAGAGTATTTTATATTGTCTTTCTTAGATTTGAGGGGGAGGATTAATATATCATCGCGTTAGTTCTTGTGACGCTGATGTAATTGGATTTAAAGTAATTATCTAGAGATCTACTAGGTCCAGTAAAGTAAATGTCCATCTCCTTGTCCAGTAAATGGAAATGTCCATTTCTTTGTCCATTTAAGTAAATAGAAATGTCCATCTCCTTTTCCATTTAAGTAAATAGAAATGTCCATTTAAGTAGATGGAAACGTCCATCTCCTTGTCCAGTAAAAGTCCATCTCCTTGTCCAGTAAAAGTCCATCTCCTTGTCCAGTTAATGGAAATGCCCATCTCCTTGTCCAGTAAAAATCCATCTCCGTGTCCAGTAAAAGTCCGTCTCCTTGTCCAGTAAATGGAAATGCCCATCTCCTTGTCCTTTAAGTAAATGGAAATGTCCATCTCCTTGTCCAGTAAATGGAAATGTCCTCTCCTTGTCCATTTAAGTAAATGGAAATGTCCATCTCCTTGTTCGTTAAAGTAAATGGAAATGTCCGTTTCTAAATTTAAATGTCCATCTCCTTGTCAAGTAAATATCCATGGAAATGGCATTGATCGCCAACCAGATTCCTCCAAACGTCTCGGTTCTGGGCGAGTGTTTTTTTCCCATCCGATTTGCATCTGCTTCTCAATCTTGGCTCCATCTATTTCTGGGCGGCCTCCTCATCTTCTTTCATTTGGGGTTCCAGATGAGAGTTTGCCTTGTGATGTTAGATGCACGCTTGCGAAGAATGTGGCCTAATCATGAATGTACTCTATAAAATTCTGTTGTTGCATAATTCTTTGCCTGGTAGGTTACATTTCAGGAGACTATAAACATTCTGAAGACATGCAGCTCTTGCGCTCTCCGTTTTATGGCATCCATAGTGGCTTACCTAAATACAAATCTATATTTAGGACACGATATTTTACAATAGTTCCATTTATAACTATTCAAAACTCTCAAACAATATCGTGATGCCGGAAATATTACTTTAAAGTATAAACTCAAAAAGGAAATATTTTTTCAAATAAATACAAAGCATTTTCTAAAACTTGAACTTACTATGATAATATACACACTTCATAAATGTACAATTTAATTTAAATATGTTTAGTACAGTCACAGACGTCCCCTCGACACTAAATATGCAAGTATGTATACACCCTTTATGGTTTACGTTTTGCCCCTTCTAGAACCATCTAAAAAAAAATCTAAACAATAGCACAAAAGTACCACGGAATCTGGTCATCATTTTAAATACACTTCTTGCTACTTGTCAACAAAATACAGTCATGACCTTGCGCTGCAAATATTCTGTTCTAGTATCAATCTAAAAATAAACCTGTGAAAGAATAAAGAACTTATTTTTTCCCCATATCCTCGAACTGCTTACGTGTCAACGCCTTTCCATATCATATCTCAACAATAACTTGTAACGCCACTTTGCTCTTCATGTTCAACCTTTGCAATTCTCCATGAAGTACATGAACAAATCTCCAGGTGTTGTACTATGCACGCAAAATCTTAGTTACAGTTTGAACAACTTTGGAAGGGGATAATTTGAAATGGGTATCTGTACCATTTCCTGATCTTTCTGTCTTCCAGGTCAGTAGAGGCTCCGTCGTCATTATGATCCGAAAAACTTTTCTCCTGAAATATTTACGAAAGAATTGGTAACAATTTACTAATGTGGACTTAAGGGATGCTACATTAAGACCCGTCAGTCAAACAGTCTTCTACTGACTGAAAGTCTTATTGGTATAATATGGGCAGGAATTGAGACTCATCTGATGATGGCGGGTACTACGGTAGCTGTTCATTCATAATACTTCAACATTTTCTTTCAACTTTGAGGTATATGTTCACTCCTACAACTTTTTGATATCTCTGTATTTTTGCTATTATAATTTACAATGTTGATTTTTTTTGTAGAAAGAAATATATTTGTATGATACATAAAATGTATCCGACTTGTTTTTTTTTTTTTTTTTTTTTTTAAAGTTTGTAGAATGTTTTTTACAGGTGTCCTTTACATCATCTGCCCTTTAATCGCAAAGTCTTGTGTGATCTATTTATCTTCCTGCTATGATCTTACAGATTTATTTATTAGCGTTAGACTGATATAGAATCAGAATCAACTGCTACAACTCGGAAGATATAGCCCGTGTATACGGGAAAAAGATTACAAACTCTGAACGAATGCAGTCAAAACAAAAAATAAAGTCGCCTTATCCGTGCTTTGAATGAATTCGGCTTCTTAAAGCGATTAGTGTTACATTTATTTTAAGACGTGCATTGTTGACTGCATAGAATACACCCCCCCCCCCCCCCACACACACAAACTAATAAAATAGTCAGACACAGATAATGGCACATTTCTTATTGCGTACGCTGGGATAGTTGCATACAAGTGCTCCTACTTCCCAAGTGCCAATCGAGCATGGAATGGGTTGCCTGAATCAGCCAAAAAGACCAATGACTTAGCAGAGCTCAAGTCTCTTATTTATAAAATAGGGAGAACAGTGATGTTTGCCATTAAAATGAATAGGGACAGAGTTTCCTGATTTCGAGTGTCTTTGGTGTGTTCTTGCACTTTTAACGGCATACCTGTGTTTCCTAAATTAAGGCATTTGACACCTAGTGGATATTAATAATATTATTGCGTATTTCACAGTCCTGCTGTGACAATTCAATTTACATTCAGCGTTCTGGTATTGTTGTTTTAAGAGGGGGGGGGGGGTAGAGTTCTTAAATGTGTGTCCCGCGACCTTCGTGAGATGTCTCTACGTGCCTTTTTTTTCAAAAGTTATTTGCTGAAGCTCTTCAAAATCGACACAAGCAGCTGGGAAAAAATGGCACTGGATAGATCCACATGGAGAGCGAGCATAAAGGAAGGGTCCGGATTGCAGATGCCATACACTACAGTAGTAGAAAGAAGGGTGAAAATAGAACGGCACCGAGTGATTACATATGCCCAACCTGTGACTGCAGCTGTGTACCAAGGATTGGTCTCTTTAGCCACACAAGGGAAAAGATCGTCTCTCGAGAAGTAAAATGCTACAGAATTGCTGCCAGCTACTCTTCTGTGTGCCTGTGAGCGAACACTGTCACTTGAGTTGATCTTCATAGCACCTTTGAGAGGCACGTCTTCATCGCCTTGGCGTCCATCCACCATACTAGACAGGTAACCAGCGCAACTGTCAAATAAGAGACAATGTCTGTACGCTGTACACGCCGGAGTTAAGCAGAAGGTAATTATTTTTAAGGTAGTCTTGGCTGCGTGTACCCATTTTAGAACTAAAATATATGAATTATAAAGCTAAACATTAACTGAAAGGCATGCGCCGCTATCACTTAAATGCAATCGTTTTCCCGTGATTCCCTCCCAACTACATTTCATTGTAAAATGTAATGAATATAATGACAAAGAAACAATGTATGGCCTCCTTCAGTCGCAAAGCGATGAATGCCTGGGCATAAATTGTGGTCGGAACGATGTCGCCCAAACATCAGTTCCCCCCCACTCCACGCAGCTGATGTATCCAAAGGAACGGCAGTGCCGATACAGTTTGGGGTCAGCGGTGTCGCAGGTTCTGCCAGAGTGTAGCACTGGATGATGCAAACTGCCTTAGGGTCGCCAGCTCCTGATTTTTTCACAGGGTTGACTCCCGAAGCCTTTCCCATGATTGGGTATAGCTGCAGGGCAACAGAGGTTTGAATTCAAAGTTTTCCATCTCCTAGGTGGGTGTGAAAATACGGTAAACAACACGAAAGGCAAAGGTAAACAACACAAAAGTCAAAGGTAAGCAACACGAAAGTCAAAGGTAAACAACACGAAAGTCAAAGGTAACAACATGAAAGTCAAAGGTAAACAACATGAAAGTCAAAGGTAAACAACATGAAAGTCAAAGGTAAACAACATGAAAGTCAAAGGTAAACAACATGAAAGTCAAAGGTAAACAACATGAAAGTCAAAGGTAACAACATGAAAGTCAAAGGTAAACAACATGAAAGTCGAAGGTAACAACATGAAAATCAACGCATTTGACACTAAAATATTGAAAACATGTTTTTATTGAGGGTCACATATAAAGCCCATCACATGGAATCACAATATTCAAACTAGACACGAATTATTCAGATCAATTATATACATCACATGACCTTGAAATCACATAATTTTTATTTGACTCAACATTGCTAAGGTATGGAGGGGGGAGGGGACAAGTACTGAACAAAAGTAAAATAATCATGTTAATGAAGTAAATGTTGTTTTTTTTTCTTTTACAATGTAAAAGCCAATAATAATATCACAAACATGGTACGCCACATAGATCAGTGACAGCATCACTTACTATTCAAAAAATGAGATTATTCAAGTTATACATGTCCCAACAAAATACGATTATTACATCTTACTCATGTTACTATGTTGATTGACTATTTATTGTCATATATATACAAAAAATAGCATTTATAGCATTATATATAAGCATACAATACGTAATTTCATTACACATAAACTTGGGCTATGCACTTAGTCCCAGTGGTATTTGAAAAGAAAAGAGTTTGTTTCTGAGTATTTTTATTTTTATGTTTTGTTTAGTGTTTTATGTATTGCTGCAATCTTTCTTTTTAAATCTTTAACCACAAGTGTCTCTACAAGTAGTTGTTTTACCAGCATCATAGAATTTCAACTTTTTTCAAATTCTTAGTTGGATTCATCAGTTTCCTAGTGAGCACCTGTTTAAGGTTTGAATTTTGACCCATTTTAAATGATTGTTACCTATATAACCTGGATATTACATATGTATATGTGACTGTCAATAGTAAATGCAGAGCACTACAAGTGTAGTCTAGATCTAAATGTATAGTTTTATTGTTGCTGACTAAAGTTTAAGTTTGATGGAGAAGCTTGTTTTATTCATTGAATCAACAGAAACACATTTCTGATGTACCAGCCTAACATATTTTTCCCTAGACTTGACCATCAATTGGACAATGCAATGCCATTAGAAAACAAAATTTCAATTACCAAAATTTCAATTATCGGTATAAGTTTGAGGTCACTTAAAACAGGATTTTCAAATCCTTGGTGATTAAATGAGTCGTTGACACACAATGTAGGAAGAAACAGTTTATTGACATTGTAAGCAATCTTTTGTGACTTCCAAGTGATGCCATCATTTATTGTTATAGACTACATGGGACAGTTAGCGTTACATTTTGTTTTTGTCTTAAGCAATAGCATTGTGTAACTCTTGTAGTCTTATTTTCTTGTTTTAGATCTGCAATTTAGAATTAATAAATTTATTATATTACAATGATAAATTTATGACTTTATAGAAATACTTATCACATCACTATGAAAGATTTATAACTTTACAGAAATACTTATCACATCAGAATTCCCTACGACTATTATACATCAACCTGACAAAGTAGCTTATCCAAAAAGTGGGAAAACATATGAGTCCATGAAGAAATTTCCATATAATGTATTTTAATACAACTAGAAAATAAAAATGTCCAAAGCAAAAGAATGATGTAAATTCTTTCAGGTCTTCCACTTAAAAGTTTTGAAACATTGATCTGTATTTTGACTGTATAAAATTCTGAAGAAGTAGCAATTAGTTTTTAGATTCAAAATGTTTATTTTTTTAAGACAATTAGTTTACTCTAAATCCAAAGCAGAATAAGGAAAAACCGAGTCCCTCATTATTGAAGTGCAAGTGATCAATAGATGTATGCTTTGAATTAAAATATCTACACTGTAAAAATAAGGCCTAGAAGATTACTTTCATCTTCTAAGTTTAAAATCATTGGAAACTACAGTCATAACATTCAAGTTAAGAATCACTACAAAGGAAAAAAACATGAAATGTTTTTATGCATACAATGCTTGAGTAAAACCAATGTTAAATAGATTCAACTCTTCCACCTGTCCAGTACACTAAATGTCCAGTACAGTAAATGTAGTCCTCTATCTCTGTCCAGTACAGTAAATGTAGTCCTCTACCTCTGTCCAGTACAGTAAATGTAGTCCTCTATCTCTGTCCAGCACAGTAAATGTAGTCCTCTACCTCTGACCAGCACAGTAAATGTAGTCCTCTATCTCTGTCCAGCTCAGTAAATGTAGTCCTCTATCTCTGTCCAGCACTGTAAATGTAGTCCTCTATCTCTGTCCAGCACAGTAAATGTAGTCCTCTATCTCTGACCAGCACAGTAAATGTCCTCTGTCCAGTACAGTAAATGTAGTCCTCTATCTCTGTCCAGCACAGTAAATGTAGTCCTCTATCTCTGACCAGCACAGTAAATGTAGTCCTCTATCTCTGTCCAGCACAGTTAATGTAGTTCTCCATCTCTGTCCAGCACAGTAAATGTAGTCCTCTATCTCTGTCCAGCACTGTAAATGTAGTCCTCTACCTCTGACCAGCACAGTAAATGTAGTCCTCTATCTCTGTCCAGCACAGTAAATGTAGTCCTCTATCTCTGTCCAGCACTGTAAATGTAGTCCTCTATCTCTGACCAGCACAGTAAATGTAGTCCTCTATCTCTGTCCAGCACAGTAAATGTAGTCCTCTATCTCTGACCAGCACAGTAAATGTAGTCCTCTGTCCAGTACAGTAAATGTAGTCCTCTATCTCTGTCCAGCACAGTAAATGTAGTCCTCTATCTCTGACCAGCACAGTAAATGTAGTCCTCTATCTCTGTCCAGCACAGTTAATGTAGTTCTCCATCTCTGTCCAGCACTGTAAATGTAGTCATCTATCTCTTTCCAGCACAGTAAATGTAGTCCTCTATCTCTGTCCAGTACAATAAATGAAGATGTCTGTCTATGAACAATTGACCAGACTAATTCCCCATTGAAATCAATGAAGTTCTGAATAGAAATTGCACTATTTATGAACAAATTTAAATACATAGTAACAATTTTACTATAGACTAAAATGCAATTATTAAATATTCCAGGGGAGATAAAGTTTTAGAAAAAGAGTGTCAGCAAAATACTGATATACAAAATTAAGAAAATGCATTGATATCTATCCAAATATCAATGTCAAATGTAAGTGTATGTACAACATATTAAGCCTCAAAATTAAACAATCCCCTGATTCTAACTATATACTTTACTCTTGGGCCTTAAATTTATGTTTAAGTTATTTATCTACTCCCAAAAAAGAAAAAAAACAAAACTTAATAATATTTGTTGAAGTAAGTATGTTTCTTTTCAATCAAACCTATGAAAAACATAGCAAAAAGTTTACTTTTAATGGAACATACATTGTTTATAACAATTATAGTCTTATAAAATTTTAGAAGACAAAAAAACTGACAAAGCAGAAAGAAATGGCTATTCAAATTGGCACCAGCAGCGTTGCAACTGAATATTCCATTCCAGGTTCAACTTACATATCTCTAACAGTCACAACTGGAGGCATAAAAATGCAAAGCCAAGCCCTCAGACCCCCCCCGGGACAAACGAAGTGGTATATCTATGAACATTTGATTACGATGGACTAACAACAAATATAAAAGTATGCTATTGAATTTATATAAACCTTTCTTGACAAAGCTATCCCACTTTCAAAGAAATATAAACTGCCCATTATAATTACATTAGCTGACAATTTAACTGAAGATTCAAAATCATCAAAATCAACATATCAAAAGTTCTCATCAGTAGAATGAAAGGAAGTATCACTGTAAATAAATTCTTGAAGTTACTGACAGAGCAGAGGGTGTCAGCTTGACCTATCTCTTTTTTCTGGTCTTCTTGCTCTGGCTGCTCAGAGGTGTGCCTGCTTCTCCAACTATGACTTGGCCCCCCTGAAGCTCCTCCTGTGACAGACCTGAAGAGGTGGCTAGTTTCTGCTGAGCGTCAAGATAGAACATGATATCCCTCAGTTGCTCTCGCAGCTCAGCCACTTCCTGTGCACAACAATATATAAAGAAAAGGAAAGGGAAATAAAAATGTGTTAAACCAAAGGACTTTATTTTATACAGTGAGAAATGGTTTAAATGTAGGTGCAATATATTGAAATTATTTCATGGATAGTAATCAAAACAAGATTATGAAAAGAGTTTGTGCTTTTCACATAAACTGAAGCAGCTCCTAAAGGACCACCATCCTATAGTTCCCCCAGTTTTTACTACTAACAGCAATTAGTTTTACTGAGTCATCCTCATCAACAGCTAAATTGTAAGTGTGATGATATCTTTAAGTGCCAGATGACAATGATGCTTTTGAGGCTGATTGTCACAATGTGTCGGTTGATGTTACCATGAGATTGTATTGACCAGACAATGCATTTCTACTTTTTAAATTTTGTATGATCTTTCTATTAAACAAATTACTGAACACTCACAATATTGAGATGCCAGAGATATAAATGTAAACTATAAATTCAAAACTGAGATCCTCAAATAATAATACAAACCTTTTATTCTGGAACTAGGAATCCCTTTAATAATGTTTACACACTCTATAAATGTACAATACAAATTAATTAAACACATTTAATGCCGCCCTTTACCCCCAAACTACTGATGCATCCCTTTAAATATTTTTTACCATCTTTGTCCTCTCGCCTGATTGGAACCAACCAATCTCCTTTCGCGTACGTTGAATTTCTCAACCACTCCTTTTATGATATGGCATATCAGCCATTAATATACCCCCAAGAACTTGTGATGCAGTGACGCAAAAATTCAACCAAAGAAATAATAATTTGTTTTTCGAAATGGCCGTGCACGCTTCTGCTAAGCAACAAATATAAAATATCTGCTAATTACAGTAAGTAGAATCTCAAACTGCTCAGACAAAGGAGACAACTCTTATAAATTTCAGACATCAGTAGGACAAAAGTTACTCACCAAGATCAATGCTTTTTTAAAAATATTTACCCTATCTTTGGTCTCCAATAGTTTCTCCAAGTGGGTCACTCTTTCCTGCCAAGACTTTTGATTCTCTTGAAGGCTAGAATTCATCTGACGTTCATCTTTTAAGTCTGTTAGAACTTTGGAAGTCTTGGTGTGCAACTGGAAAAAACAAAAACAACTATGCTACACATTTTCTGAGGTATGGAGGTTTCTAGATCTGTGTTTTTGTGAACTCTCTGTGTGTATATAGAAATTCAACTTCTCATAATAGTGCACAAAAGTATAACGCTCAAATAGTCTAAGCAATCTAAACATTAACCATTCAACATTGTGTCTCTAGAAAGTCAAGCCCAAAAAAAACAAAACAAAAGCAACAGTTGCTAACCTGATTGTATTTTTTCTCCAGAGCATGTTTTTCTTTCACAGTTTCTGACAGTTTACTTTCTGCTTTCTCCCTTGCAACTATTTCCTGTTCTAATCTTTCTGTTGATTCCTTAAACTGTCCACACAAATATAACACTTAACTTTGGGATTAATGTATTATCTCATAGATAAGGTGACCGGATGTACCAATGCCCTGCTTTAATGCCAAAAGATGATCAATGTCACTTCTTCTATTTAGAATATCGTTTAATTAATAAATTCAAAGTTGCTGCAATGCGGCATTATCTTCTCGATCTTTATGCTGCCCATATAGTGTACTGTACACAAAGACATAAAACGTTCTGCAGATTGTCTATACATAACTATGAAAACATGCATAAAAATATATATATATACTTCTGTTTTTACACAGTCCATGTGGGAATCATTAAACCAATTTTGTGCTATTGAAAGACTGTTTGCATAATATTATCTCTGGAGCTGTTGATGGAGAGGCTACTCAAATATTTAATACAATTTGATCTCTATACATGGTAGACTATGAGCTCATTGTTCACAATAAACTTAACATTATTTTCATTTAACTGACTGTGCTCCAGTTAGATGGGGACAAGGGGGAGGGGGGCATCAATTCACTGTAAAACATTGAGATGTAGAGTTAATAAACTTAACATTATTTTCATTTAACTGACTGTGCTCCAGTTAGATGGGGACAAGGGGGAGGGGGGCATCAATTCACTGTAAAACATAGAGATGTAGAGTTATATGTGACTAGTCTGTATATATGTTAATCTATGTGATTCTATGTCATTTAATTCCTAAACCTGTTATGACAACTAATCAATAATAAAGACAAAAAGAAGGTTTAACATGGCACAAGGGAAGTGCTTAGAAGTAGATAACATAGAAACACAGCTACCTTAGACTCCACATCTTTGACAGCTAATTGGATTTGTTCAGTAAAATAAATTCTTTGGGACTCCAGCTGGGTACTTAGCAAGTAGGAATACTGCATTGTGGGAAGAGATGAAACACTTACAAGCATGTGTAGGTAACAATGCAATCCTGTTTAATAGCATTTTATTTCAAATTTGTTTGTAACTTTCTATAGTTTTAGACATAAAAAAATGACATTATAAAGATTTGATTTTATAACACTTAATTGATGAATTCTTTAGAAATTGAGTAAAACCACAAAAAATAAAATATCACAATGAAAATGCTTTTTATTAATTTTGGTGCAATTATTTTGGTTAGATTTTGAATGATGTTAAAAGTTGAAACGTAGTATGAAAAAGGTGTGACATTTTAAAGAATAACTTAATAAATAAGTATGCTAAGCTATTTTTTATATAATTACTGTTGCCTCTTAAAAAATGAGTCTGGCAATCCAACAATATGATGACCATTAGAGAAGGGATTTTCAAACTAATGTATGTAAGTAACAATGCAATCCAGTTTAATAGCATTTTATAAGAATAATGAATACAGCAAAACTTCTAAGTAATGTCTATACTATCTTTGAAGCATATAATTGCATAACATCTCTATGCTACACCTGCAATTTATAATATAGTCTTATCAGTCAATTACAATCTTCAAAATGATACAATAACACAATAACTGATTACGTCTTAGCCAGTTCCTAGACTAAACTTTGCTTTTACCTCTAGAGAAAGAGAATCCAATTTTTCTTCATGGAACTCATTGCCTCC